TGACGTGCTGGTATAGATTTGTTTTCCTATTTCTTTAGACTGCTGCTACCAAAAGAAATGCGGATGTTCTACGTGTGCCCTAAAGCTCGATCCACCTGAGTGTTGGCGAAATGTGGGTGGGTGAGATTTACTGTTTTATGTGAAGCTGCCGTTTGCACTAGTTGCAAAATACCCAAGACAAAATGAACCGTAATCGCTTTCAGCTCATACGTCCTTTTGACACGTCAAAGAAATAGAACAAGGGTTCAAATTCCCTACAGGCCTAGAGATCTGGAAGCAGAGAGTGCGGAGATGATATCTGAGATTGGGGCAGCACTACACGTATGCTGGTGGACTCGCACCAAACCGCAATCAGATCCCTCATGTATGAATTTGAAGTTGACGAGCTGCTAACAACTTGTCGTGGAGTGTGAGGCATGAATCCAGTAATACCAAGTGAACATCCAGTGGCCCTAGCTTGGCGAAAGCTGCTGCTGTCACACTCGCTTCCATAGCAGTCATCCTAGGAATACTGTAAACTGGCTTCCATGAACTTACCTGAGCTACAAATCAAGTGGACTGGTCACTACAGCAAGATTCATCTATCGAAGCAATATAGGCAATCCTAAAGCATCCTAGAGCATCTACTATGCCGAAATTCTTCTGTCAAAAGGGGCAGGGCCTACACAAATCAAACTCTGTACCGCCTCCTAAATATTTGTGAATAAGGAATTGAAATGCACCACAAGTGCCGACGCATGGTCCCTCCTGGAAGTCAGGGACTGCCCGGCTGAACCCTTTAACATTGCTCCGTCATCTGTACTCCTCAAGTGCAGCGTCACTTAATGAATGATCCTCTTGTGGGTCGTCTTCGTTGTGGCTGGGATTTTTGAACACTGGTGCTGTTGCGTGAAATCAGCCATGATTATGACACCACGTAATCGGCGGCAGAACCCATCGGACTGTATTTATTCCTTAGTACACGTCAATGTCTAATGAAATAAAATATACTTGTCGAACCATTTTAGTTTCATTAGTGCAACCATCTGATAATTGAGGGTTACGGATCTTGCGCACAATCGTTTTCCATACTCCTTTAGGATTGCCTATATTGCTTCGATAGATGAATCTTGCTGTAGTGACCAGTCCACTTGATTTGTAGCTCAGGTAAGTTCATGGAAGCCAGTTTACAGTATTCCTAGGATGACTGCTATGGAAGCGAGTGTGACAGCAGCAGCTTTCGCCAAGCTAGGGCCACTGGATGTTCACTTGGTATTACTGGATTCATGCCTCACACTCCACGACAAGTTGTTAGCAGCTCGTCAACTTCAAATTCATACATGAGGGATCTGATTGCGGTTTGGTGCGAGTCCACCAGCATACGTGTAGTGCTGCCCCAATCTCAGATATCATCTCCGCACTCTCTGCTTCCAGATCACTAGGCCTGTAGGGAATTTGAACCCTTGTTCTATTTCTTTGACGTGTCAAAAGGACGTATGAGCTGAAAGCGATTACGGTTCATTTTGTCTTGGGTATTTTGCAACTAGTGCAAACGGCAGCTTCACATAAAACAGTAAATCTCACCCACCCACATTTCGCCAACACTCAGGTGGATCGAGCTTTAGGGCACACGTAGAACATCCGCATTTCTTTTGGTAGCAGCAGTCTAACGAAATAGGAAAACAAATCTATACCAGCACGTCACCATGATCTGTTGTTGTTCTGTCGTTGTGGGAGTACGATTAGCCGCTCAGCTGTACATCCCGTGGAATTATATCGGAAGTTAAAAGAGTCCCAGAGAGTCCCACCGGCCACCGGAAATTAACTAATGGGCAATACTTTTACGCTTGTTAAGTCATTCGCAACTACTGAATGTGTCATGACCGTGGAACAAACGGTTGAACGTGAATCCTCAGTGATCTATCTACACAGTTTCCATGGATACTTAAAATACCAAAAATTCTAGTGCCATGGCATATTAAGGTTTTCCAAATTGGCCGGATACGTATCTGGGCGATAAGGAATATTTAAACATTCAAGTCTGCCAAGGCGGGGAACTCAAGTCAAGTCAATAAAATGCTTAATACACCAACAACGCTTGAATATTCAGCCGTAAACAGACTGGCTTAATCAAATAAATGCATCGTACGCGCTGGATTCTTCCATCACCTTTCTTTCTAAAATGGGTGATTAGATTTGACCTAAACGCTTCTTCATCTACTTTAGGATTCTTTTACCATACCAATACTGTAAAATTCCTTCTCGTGCTCATTGCGAAACTGATTTTGATTTAATTCTCCAAGCTGATGGAATAAAATGAGATTTGATAAAATCTGTTCAAAAGGCACTGCACTCAGCTTTCTTTTTATTTCTGTATTCTGCTGGAATTAACTCCTTAGGCGGCCGCGCACTTGCAAATAGATCCGATGAGCCTCCAGTAGCTGGTAGACATTGTTCCGGACTCATTTATGCAGAAGTAGCATCTCATATTTTCACCGCCTAATTGTTACGAATTCTTATTTTGCTAAGGTGGTTTATGTGAAGGTAACATTCAGTCTACAACAGCGTTGTCACTAACCCTTTCATCATTTGCTGGGATAACATTAAGCAACTGTCGAAGCGCCACCAACATTTGAACACGGTAGCCAGTGCATTATGCACTGCTGTCGAGATGTTGCAAACCACCAGCCAAAAAACGTCGGCATCGACCCAATCTGAGCTGGCCTTTGTCGGAATCGACGAGGGTCATTAACATATTTCAAGGACACATGCACCGCAATGCGTCCTCACGTCGTATTCACACCCCCAGACATGCGTGGATGAGTAAATACAGTAGACTTACATGCCATTGGTGGGTCGGCAAATTAGTGCGCTCTAATCTACCCCTGACCTGCGCGGCGGCTGAGTAAAAACGAAAGACTCTTATCAAATGCACTGTAAATAGGTCGACTCCGATCTCACCATCAGGCACTGTTATCCAATTACTTCGTGCAAGTGGTAGCTTGGTGGTTCATGGTCAGTGTTGACGGAAGTCATGCTGCTCCGGTGCCACAAAGTTGCAATGTTTCAGGTACTTCCTCAGAGCCTCAGCGACGACAGCTTCCGTCACCTTCGCGAGCACAGCGTGGAGAGTCACTGGGCGGTGGCTTGCAGGGGCCCGAACGGCTCCCCCCTTAGAAATTGAAGTAGTAATGCCGAGTTTCTGCATAGTGGGACTTGTTAGTCACCGGAGCAACCTTGGAAAAACTGTGCCAGTGGTCCGGCTAGCTTGTTGACCACAGCCTTCAGTACTTTTGGGCGGATGTTGTCGGCTCCAGAACATCTATGGTTGTGCAATGCGAGTAACTACTTTAGCACAGTTTTACGTTAAAAAATTAAATGTGTAAACCATGGGTCGCTAATGTGGTTAACGGTATGTGAAAGGTAGTGGCGCCGACTTCGATAATTGGGGTGTATTGTAACCCCAGGGCATTGGTTGCTTCGGCGGAGCTTTGTACCCTACTGCCTGTTGTGAAACTCGAAGAGATGCCAAGCTTCACGTTACGAAGACTGTTGATATGCCTATGCAGTAGTTTATTGTTTGACAGAAAAGGTTTGGAAAGGCGGTGTTGATAAGTGATTTTGTCCTCAAGGACAGGTGCGGCGCAATGGTTGCTAGGCTGCTTCCGGATCCGCCTCAATTAATCTATTTGAATCATCGATATAAGGGTTGTGGACAAGTTGGCCTATAGCTAAATTATCTGTGAGCCCATATACGACATGATGAACGACCTTGGATTAGTTCACTGAAGAGTGTTTACTTGAAGCTTACATCGAACCAAGTGTTTTAGGCTTGTGCAGCACAGTTCCTACCATGGAGAAACCGAGCTTGCGCTCAAAAGTAGGATTCTGTGGTGATAAAAATAGACACTGTTTCATGAAGCTAGATAAGGAAGCACCTAGAACCGTGGGTTGTTTCTACTTGAGGACACAATGCGTTACACTTGGTGAAAGAGATCGGTTTTCGCAGGACTCTGAGGACAGTCAATACTAGAGATCCAGCTGGGTAGAATTGTCTATTAACCGCTATCTTGATACATATATGGAAACAGTCGGAATGTCACTATTTCAGAAAGCTTTCTAGATGACTGGTAGAGGATCTTGTGTTTTACAAGCAAGACGTAATACGCCTAACTACTACGTTTGCTGGTCGCCTACCTAGCCTTCTGGAATACTGGCTATTAGTCAACCGCAAGAAATTTTCATACAAATTTCATCCAAATACATAGCAAACTACACAAGAAGAAACTGTCGGTGCAAACAGCAGAGATAAAAGCTGTCTATTTGGTACTGGCGTTCAAGGGGGACCATTTGACAAATGATACCGGACACTAGCTCAGGTCCACCATAAATCGTACGTACACGACTGCCCAGTTGCGCCTCATGCACACCACCCAGAAACTGGTTCTTTAAGACCGCCAGAGTTACCCTTCGGCTAGTTCGGTCTCTCATGTGGTTTATCAGTTCCCCTGCAGTTGCGGTGATGTCTACATAGGCAAGACTAACCGTCGGTTGGCTCGGAGGGTGGCTGAGCACTTATCAAAGTGGGTCGAACAAATGCTGGCGCAACAACACGGAGCACCCAACAGAAGGAATCGGAGTTCGTTATCGTCTTTTGCCAAACACCTCTTGAACCCGATAATGTTGGCAATCAGTGAAGTATTGCTAATTAGCGCTTATCAAACTTCATTATGTGCACAGAAGCTCTCGAGGCAATCAATCAGATGATCTTGGTCTTGATTTTGGCAGTTTAATCGGTGTGCCAACATTTTCCCGTGTATATATTGGTGTCTGTGTTTCTGCTGGTTTTGTGTATGTGACTGATGAGAACAATGGAAATGTTGTCATTTCGCGATCTACGTCTTCTTTCTGCTTTGATGAATTTAATGAATGGGACCAAGTGTTTTACTTTTCCAACATCTGATTACACCTGGTGTTTCGTTTCCAGGTTGGTGCCTAACTACAAGTTTTTATCATTTCAGCTCGAAAGCACCGTACAGCGCCGTATGGGCCAGTTGCTGAAACTCCAAATGCAGCAGGAAAATATGCGTGCAGACTATGAGAAGGAAAAATGTGAACAGCTGAAAAAAGAAAACGCCTCCGCAATGAGAAATGCCCTGAGGGAGAAGGAGCAACGCATGGAAATGGAGTCTTCAATTGTTTCAAAGCAACTAGCTGATCTAGAACAATGGTCGAATAGAGAAAATCGTATCGTTGAGGAGGAACGTGAACGAATACTGATGACGCATGTGCCTAAACTCGGTGAACACTTACCAAAGGTTTGTTTAAAAAGATAAGACTACTGGGTCAACTCTGAATACTTTCGTTAAGCATTACCTTAATTCATTCATTCAACAGCCAATAGGCCATCGCTTATGGTTTTGTGTGCATCCCTAATGACTAACAAAAAGGGACGCAGCCCACAGTCAACATTTTAAGGCTGATGGAAAAAGACGAGAGGGTAGCAGTAAAACACATACATGTCCAACCAGAAAAATCAGGAGACTTTCCTGTCCATTTGCGGCATGCGCGGCTGCGATGTAAGAAAAGATTGAAAGGGTTAAAAGTTTTACAACTCAGTGGAGTTAGTCAGATCGGATCATACGGACGCTTAGCTCTGGCTGCACCTATACAAACAGAAGTATGAGACAGACGCATTAATCATTTACCAGTTAACAACCTCTGCGTCTCCACAACCCTTTCTAGTAGAAGACGCAGTTGCTTGGGTTCCACGTAATCTAGCTTAACAAGCCGCCGTTTAAGCACCATTCGCACGAAACGAAATCTGATGCAGTCGGTCCAACGTAAAATTAAAATCACGTGCTCTCGGTGTCCATTACAGGCAATTTTTATTTCCCTGTACAAGGTGAGGGTGAAGAAAATTTCGATTTGGAATCAGCATTAACGGACTATTCTGCGCTTGATTTCTCACTGTGCCCGCCAACTATGCCGAATGAGCGTTTCTGATCCAATCTCGGGATGTCCGCATAATGTTTTGTTAATGTTTCATAGTTGTCGGTATATTGAAATGCTGCCCTTTTGACACGGTTGGATTACAGGCCAAAACTGACTCCGAAAAACAAACCGAGCACATACTTGTAGCACCAGCAGTTAGAAGTTGAAAACGTGTACATAGCAGTAGAAAACTCCTAATCATGAAGACCCAGCGCCGTCCTCCATGCCTTAGTCATAGACTGAATAATCGGCTTATCCTTCGATGGTGTGAGGCACAGTCCCACTGAGTGGTCTGATCAGTAGTTACCGCGAAATTGCATAAAATAAGTAATTGTTCGACTTTGTTACAATGGACCCCAAACAAATTGTAAGATGACTGACAAGTTGAGAAATTGGGAGCAATAAATTATATTTCATGCAGGCATTTCCTTTCACGAATTTCAATAAAGCAAGAAGAAACAGCATTTTAACAAAATTTCGTGTATTCTCCTCAGCTGTTTACATACAATGAGTGGAAAACAATGTGGTGTTAACAGCAAAAATTCCAAGCGGTCGAAGGTCTTTAGGCTCACGTGACCTGTTCCGAGGAAAACGCAATCACTAGCCTCACCAGGGTAGGGCTAGCGTGGTCACGAAATCCGTTTGCTTGCATAGATTTGGCTTCAACCGCCGAATTGCTGCCGCCTCCGCAAACTGTAGTAAACGGGGATTAGCTTGCTTGCTAATTACCCTGAAATTGTCACCTTGGTTCTGGCATTCAGGGCAGTCAAGTATGTGGCGGGCAATAGAGCTAGTCGGTAGCTTCGGACCCTTAGCGATCATGTTTCGCGGAACATGTTCCGCACTGCTCGCTGACCGTTTTCTCTCAGTTCGGCCTATGTACTTACTACCGCAAGTACAATTAAAGAGGTAAATGCATGAGGCGGTAACTTGAGAGTCTGGTCTTTCCAGGTTGGATTTACAGAGCAACCTTCTGACTTGATGCAACACCACTAGCTCAGCTGCATGGTAACACTTCTTAATTGATTGACGGAGACGATGCCGGCATCTTCGGTCAACTTGATCTCCTTTGAAGGGCAGTGTAATGAATATTTTTTTCTTTGGGACATCGGTTGGTGGTTTATCTTCGGATCGTATTTTCGCGTTCCGAGCTATAAATTGCGCTGGATACCCATTCTCTTGTAGCGTCAAGGTGAGTTGTTATAGTTCATATTCGATTGTGTCTAATGAGGAAATTTGGAGAGCTCTAGCAAAAGTGGTACGTACTGGAGCTCGTTCATTGAGCAAAAGCTATTAAAGTTCAGGTATTGCCCCGTCCGTGTTGCTTTTCTGTACACAGATGGGACGAGTGTACCATCTGGTTTTCTCTGTAAGTTAACATCTAAGAAGTGGAAAGATTCGTCGGACTCGTTTTCCATTGTCCACTTGATGGCTGGATGGCACATATTCATCAGTTTCAGTAAGTGCGCCGCCTGTTGAGGTGTGTCAACGACGATGAATGTGTCGTCTACATACCAGCAATAAAAGTGTAGGTAAGAAGCTAACACGGTGTTTTAATCTGCTAAGGCTTTCATCCCAATAGTTCACATGCTACATAGCAGAGCCTAGTCCGGAAAAGCGCCAGACGCGTTTCGCCCTATTGGGGCTCGTCAGTGGCGCGCATTCCCTCGGTCCTCTAAGGAGGATCGAACCCATGACCGCTAGAGGCAGATGCCAACTAGCCAGCAGCTTAAGCCACTGAGCCATGGGGCACGTTGGCTAGGCTACATAATTTGCAAACTAACTGGGATATAGCACAACCTATCACTGGCAGTGGTTAACCTGCAAGGTGATGACGTCCTCTCTCTAGGCGCTCTATCTATAGTATTTGAACCTAGGAGAGGTTTTTGATTTTCTAGTACTCATGAGTAGCAGGATTTTAGTTATAAATCTGATAATGCTTTCATCCCAATGGTTCACAAGCTACATAGCACAGTATAGCACAGTGTTTTCCAAGTGGCCGAGGATGATATCAGCCAAAACTGGGCTCAATGGGCTGCCCATGGCCACGCCGTCGATTTGTCGATACAGGGTTCCATTGAACCAGAACTGAATATCTTTTGTGCATAGGCGCAGTAATGATTTGAGCTGGAGCGCTGGGAACCCAACTTTATCAGCGTGTCTGGCTACTATATCTAGTGTTTCTTCCAAAGGTAAGTTCGTGGACAACGAAGATACATCAAAAGAAACCATGTGTTTTCCCTTTACATTCAAATTACTTATTTTGTTGAAAGTTCAAAGGTGTCTCTTAGACTGTAGCTCGTCAGTTCCCTCCGGATGGGCTCAATAAGTTTCGCTAGCCATCGCGCTAATTTTTTGTATGGTGTGTCTACGATCGAGACGATTGGACGTATTGGGACACCTTCCTTATGAGTTTTCGGTGAGCCATACATGTGGGGAAGTCACGATCCTCGGCGGCGTAACTGGATCATCGTTTTGGCATCCATCAATCCGGCCTTCACTAGCTTCTTCAATTCACGGACTATTAACTTCTCTATCTGTTCAGTTTTGTCTCTGTTTGTTACATCCTGAACAAAACGACTAGAATCCGCAAGGATTGATTGGACTTTCTGAATGTACTCTTGCTTTTCCAAAATCATAACACCTGATCCCTTGTCTGGTCGCAGTATTACGAGATTTTCATTTCGCCGCAGTTGCATCAAGGATTCCCAATGATCCTTCGTAAGGATTCTGCACTTTTCAGTTTCATTGACACAGAATTGGTTAGCCAAGTCTACCATTTTAGCTCTAAACCAGCCGCTTGCATCCTCGCTGACTGGTGTTAAACTGGACAGTTGTTCGTACAAATGCTCCAACTGAGCTTCAATCCCTATTCTGTCACATCTGTTTGATGGAACTGAAAAAGTGAAACCGAGGGATAAAGCTTCAAGTTGGTGATGACTCTACGGGGTAGTTGATAGATTTAACACATACTTCTCAGGTTCTAACGGCAACTGATCGTTGAAACATTCCCGTGACATGGAACTCATTGGGTGCTTTCTAGTGTTTGAACGCGATTTTAGCAACAAAGTGCGAAGAAAGTTGAAGAATTTTGCATGGCATACAATGTTTAAGCAGTTGGGTATTTGGTCCACACATCTCAACCTGGCGTTTAATTCATCAGTGCGCTGAGCACTCGCCTGAATGCCAGAACCAAGGTGGCAATTTCAAGGTAATTAGCAAACAAGCTAATCCCCGTTTACTACAGTTTGCGGAGGCGGCAGCAATTCGGCGGTTGAAGCCAAATCTATGCAAGCAAACGGATTTCGTGACCACGCTAGCCCTACCCTGGTGAGGCTAGTGATTGCGTTTTCCTCGGAACAGGTCACGTGAGCCTAAAGACCTTCGACCGCTTGGAATTTTTGCTGTTAACATCGCACTGTTTTCCACTCATTGTATGTAAACAGCTGAGGAGAATACACGAAATTGCTGAATTCAGTATATTCTGTTAAAATATTGTTTTTTCTTGCTTTATTAAAATAAATTATATATTTTGCATCAAATGTTCGAGTAGAGATATACGGCCATCCCTTGGGACCGTCTCCAGGGAACCTGTTTTCATGCAGTGTATTCCCTTGAAAGATTTCCCTGGTCCTTCCCTACTCCATCTGGCTGTGTGCCGTATGTCGTAACAAGAAGTAGGCCATCGCCTCTCCAACTCATCCTTAGGACTGTTATTATCAAAGTAAATTAAGGGTGATCAAGCCATTCAACCCGTTTCCTCGTCGAGATCTATTGAGTAGGTGCAATTGAGCCAGTAGCAATACGCTTTGCATGGATATACTTATTAGCTGGGTATCTTCAGTCTGTCACATCAACAGACCTGCCCAGTCGTGACCAGATAAGGTAGAATACAAAATACGAGGAATTAAAGTAATAACAAGTGAAAATATTTCTATATATGCCAACCCCAATTTGATCAAAATTTCGGCGAATAAGGACGATGATGTAAATATTTTGAGAGTAACCTTTTTCCAATCCGGCCAACACTAAACCTACGTAAAATGTCGTTTATAACATCCCTGCAGTTATAGTTGCCTCATCACCGATTCCAGTCAACTGAAGCTTTCAGAATTGGTCGAGGGTAAACTCACTAACTGCAGACAAGCTATCATAAAGGAAGGATTTATTGACATTCGCTCAGTGAGTACATAAAAACAAATTAGGAATCAGCGAAGAATTGTAGAAAACTAACAGAAAGTAGGTCCTGAGCTCTAACGTAAATGCATTGCAAAAGTAATTCCCGAGATAGACTAGGAAGTTGAACAAACTAAGAATTGTGCAC